GGACAAAAAATCGGTTAGCTCCTTGAGAACCAAATTGATAGTTGTGAGTGTTGACAACATTCTACGGAGGCCATGCAATTCATATGATCTCACTCTTCGATCCAGCCAAGGTTGGTCACTGGATATACGGGAGAAGATGATTGTTAGGGTATTTCCATTAGGTTTGCTTAGTTATTGAATAATACAGCCAATAGAGAGGCATCTAATGTCTACATTGATTATTGAGGAGATAAGTTAGTAATGATTGTCTCCCAATCGCTTGTTATTTCTAGAGCCGATACAGCACAATGAGTTAAAAATCCTCATAAGTGTTGATTCATTTTCAATAGTGGTGGATTTGTCCTGCCGTTGAGAAGGCTGGTAGAGCAAACATTAGTGTCTTGCAGTCTCTATACAAAATTTAAAAGGCAAACACCAACATGAAAAATTGCTACACCGAGAGATCAAGAAAGAAAGCCTTGGGGAAAAACAACGAGAGACAACAAATAGACAAAGAAATGCTGATTTTCAGAGGATGTCAGGTCTTCTTCTTAAGCTCTCCAAGTTATACCTGAACTCATTTAGTGTGCCTTATATTTGTGTTGCTGCATAATAATTCTGTGTATGCCTATCAGTTGTTAACTTGTCTTAAGAGACTCTTAGCAAGAAAGCATTAAGGTTAGCATAACGCAACATCTATTGTAGTCATAATGGCCGAGGAAGCATACCTAACCATGTGGGTGAGAAGCTTTGGCTCATCAATAGGGTGACTTAATCTGTACGTAGAAGTGAATGCTAACTTCTTAATTTTTGCACGGCATCCAGCATACGATAAGTGTGATTCAGTGAGGATGGGTTTGTAAGTTGAAGACTCCGAGCAACTCCTAAAAAGGCATTTAGGGCTGCAAGATTTCTAGAAAGAGTTGAGAAGGCAAGTGTTTGGATAGTGTTGAGAAATTTAGGGCAAAGAATCAAGAATCGACACAAATCTAGAATAAAACACAGAGATTTACCGAGGTTCGGCAATGAGCTTACGTTCTCAGGAGCAGAACGGCGATTTCACTATTCCATAAGGAAAATTTGGTACATTCCCATAGGGTTACACACAAATATATAGATAAAACTCACAGATAAAATTACTAAAATGTGCAAGCTCCCCCAACCCACTTAACTCCAAGAGACACATCTCTTTACTCCAAGTGAGACACACCTCATTCCAAGAGACACACATCCTCATTCCAAGAGACACATCTCTTCTCTTCAAGAGACACATCTTCATTAAAAGAGACACATCTCTTCACTTAAAGAGACACGCCACTTCATTTCAAGAAAAACATCTCTTCATTCCAAAAGACACATCTCTTCTATTCAAGAGACATCTCTTCACTCCAAGAGACACATCTCTTCTACCAATTTCTGGTATATGAGTCATATCTAACAAATTTTCACCTTGACAAATATTCAACCCTTTAGAAGAAAGATACGTTGGAGTTTCTCATAAACCAAAGTGGGTTGGGCTATAATGTCGTCTACTAACTACAAACATTCAATAAGTTCAATCAATGCAAGAACTTGTTGATATTAACTGGCATGGTCAACATATCAGTTGCATCTTCATCAGTATGAACCTGATTTTCAGCTAGATAAATGACACTGTCTGTCACAATGCAATTGAAATCCACCTTGCTCAACACCCAGCTCTTTTACTAGCCTAGCAAGCCATAATTTTGTATTATCATCATATGATTCAACAGAGTGAACTTCACCTACAACTACCCCAACAGTTTCAGTTTATAGATATTATCTGCAGTGATTTTTTCTTTCATCACAGTCATTGTACCTTTAACAATTCTGATGATTTCTCTCTTCTCATCTGTCTTTAGGAATAAAACAAGTTCTATGTAAAATGTCCAAGGAAATTAAATTCTTTTTCAAATCAGAAATATGTCTTACGTCACATAATATTCTGACAGTATCATCATACAACTTAATTTTGACTTCATCAATACCAGCAATATTGCAACATCTATCATCACCCAAATAGCTGATCCAAAATCAAATAATATGTATGAAGTAAACAACTCCATGTTAGATGTTATGTGATAAGAGCATCCTGAATTAAAAATTCATGCATTCTTCAACTGAGTTGTTGTAACTGAAAGTATATCACAATCACTGCAATCTGAATTATCACTCTGCATCATATTCACAGACTTGAAAGATACACCATGTTTCTCATCAGTCTGCTTCTTAAGCTTTAGACAATCTCTCTTCATATGACTCGGCTTCTTGCACTTGTTACAACGAATCATCTTTTTTGTCTTTAAACTTTGACCTAGAATTTCGCCTTTCAGAATTCTCATTCTCCTCCCTTCCACGATCTTGATTACCCTTAACATATAAACTATCATCATGAGAGTTTTTTCCTGCATTATGCTTCCGCTGATTGTGAGCCAACAATGCTACAGTAGTCTCATCAACTTTGATGGTTTCTTTCTCATTTGTAAGAATAGTCACCAGGTGTTCTTTAGAGGAAGACAATGAAAACAACAAAACCATTGTCCAGTCTTCATTCTTAGTACTCACATCAAGTCATGATAAATTTGAGATTATTTGATTGAAAACACTCACATGTTGCGCCAGATCAAAGTCTTCTTGCATCTTCAACCCATACAGTTTTTGCTTCAAATACAATTTATTCTTCAGAGATTTGGACATAAACTGAGTTTCCAATTTCTTTCATACTTCTCCTAGAAATTTCAAATTTATAAAATGATATATAATCTCATATATTAGACATAAACGTATGGTACTTGCCGCTCGTTGTTGCAATTCTTCTCAATCTTCATCTTCCATATTATCAGGCTTCGTTGCTCGCAAAACCTTCAAGATTCCTTGTTGTGCAAACAAATCTTTCACCTTTGTTTGTCACAATCCGAAGTTCCCGGTTCCATCATATTTTATCACTTTGAATTTTACAACAGATAATGTCATCTGAAATTACTCTTATCACTATCTGTCGCGATTCTCGATTCAGGGAAGACTGATTTCTGAAATCGCGTTCCTTCTTATCGTCGAACCGTCCAAACTCCTTCGCTTAACTCCTCTGCATCGGCGCCTGGTCCAAACAGTCTCAAACCTTCTCGTCGAACTCCCTGAAGCCCACTCACCAACTCCTCTGCAAATTGCCTCGCTGAAACTGCCGCAAACCGTCAGTCTTCCTCTTCCTCTTTGATATCCTCTGTGAAACTGCCGCAAACTGCCTCCTCCCACGATTCGCAAACTTACCTGCAAAGCACCGAAGCTGCAAACTCCTTCTAGTCGCTGAAGTTGCTTCGTCGCAGAAACTTCTCCTGGTCGCTGACCTTCGTCTGGTCGCGATGCCACGAATCCCTCTCGTCGAACCACTCGCCTTCATCTCCCAACAGTCGCAATCCTCAAACTCCCCGAAGCCCTGGCCAAACCTTTCTACCAAATCATCGAATCCTTCTTCCTACTTCCTGCGCCGAACTTTTCTGCCTAGAACCTCGCTCTGATACCACTTGTTGAGAAATTTATGACAAAGAAAATCAAGAATCGACACAAAGCCAGAAGAAAACACAGAGATTTAACGAGATTCAGTAATGAGCCTACGTCCTCGGGAGACGAACGGCGATTTCACTATTCCAAAAAAAGAATTTGGTATATTATCATAGGGTTACACACAAATATATAGATAAAACTCACAAATAAAATTACTAAAACGCCCTCACTCTCCCAACCCACTTAACTCCAAGAGACACATCTTCACTCCAAGTGAGACATCTCTTCACTCCAAGAGACACACCTCTTCACTTCAAGAGACACATCTCTTCACTCCAAGAGACGCATCTCTTCTACCAATTTCTGGTATATGAGTCACATCTAACAGAGAGTCATTCTAATTCTAGTAAGGATAAGGAGTGTCCATAAAAGCAATGTTTGTACAAGTGCGAACCACACGAAGGCTTTAAGGAGAGTGAGCTAGGAAGGGTGGTACAACAACGCATCTAAACCAATGTGAAAACAATATAGTTAGAAAATTTTGTTCCTATGTGAATTATTTGATGATGATGATTTGATGATGTCGAGGAGTGTCCATCGGAAGTAAGGCATAGACTAAGAGAACTCCCTACAGTGCTTCTATAACTTGAGTCCCTAAGAAGAGAATGGTACATTAGCTGACATAATAGATAACAAGTAGGTGCAAAGTGGGGGACAGTTTTGGCTTTTACGTGGTAGTTTGCATTGACGGTCTATTAGCATCTCAAATCTATTGAGGGTGAGGAGTGCACATTGAGGCAAACACGTGAACAATTGCTCATTTTACTAAGGAAACTAGAAGGAAAAGTTTCTAGGATAGAAGAGAGTGTCAGTTGAGCAACGAATTATCGTGGGATGCAATAATTTGCATCGCTAAAGGAATATTTATGGTTGTTGCCTAAGTCCTGAGCAAGACACTTTTCTGTATAGATTTTGTTTGGGAGCTTTGATTAATACGACCTAGTTGTCTGGTTATTGTGGCCAACTATCTGATGGGTTGATCATCTGGTACATGCCGATACGTGCTCTTAGTGAAATCATCTAGCAGAGTCTTAGCTGGCAGTTTCAGGTTGTTGTTAACGAGTATTTCTAGTTACTAATTATCCGGATAAAATTGATTGCATGAGATAAATGCATTGAGCGTTATTCATTGAATGTTGTGGTACTCTTATGTAAAAGAACGCATATATTTACTATATTTGATGTGTTATAATTTATCTTTTACTCAAAAAAAAAATTAATTAAATGAAATAGTTCTGCCCAGAAATGAGATGTGAGGTTAGGTGACCCAGTGGACGGCTTGGTCAGAGGACCCAATAGACGAACTGTTTTTCCTTAGATCACAGCCCCGATTTTAGCGACTCAAATTGAGTCAAAATTTTGACATATATTGTCTATCAATCAATATGGCAATAAGCTATCCAACTTCCACAATGAATCAAATAATGACTTTCACATACCTGCAATGGATAACTGAGTTATGTCAATCGCACCAACGCAAATCCATTTGGCTGCTTCAGGACCAAAAGCAACTGGAAGTGACTATTAGCCAATAGAAAGATATCAGTATATCCCACATTGGGTAAGCTTAGGTTAAATTAACTACAGATCCCAAAAAAAGCTTATTTTGACAGTGAGGAAGCTAACCTGCAGCCCCAAAGCCCTGTCTCCTTCAAGACTTTTAAAATCATTAACAATTGCAATACCCAGCTACAGAGTGAAAATTACAGAAGATTTAGAACAATTTAGTTACTTAAACTACATAAATTACGTAGCTATGAACACCATACCCCAGCTATGCTGTACAAGAGTGTAAGCACAACAATGTCTGGAGTAAGAGTTCCAAACAATGCCTGGCCAGCCCACCTATTAAGAAAATTATACAAAAAATAACTACCATATTTCATGCTTGAAACAGAAAATAAAGTGTATTGTGTAAGCTATAGGTCTATTTTTATACCATGGTAGAGCAATGTAGCTTGACCCCAAAGCAAAATTTCCAATCCATCCATTTTGCTTGAGCTACAAGAAAAAATGTGGCCGGAAAAGAACATGGAAAAATTCGGGAGTTTGCTCAGCTTTTGCACAGATTTACAAAATAAAGTGATGAGATACGAGATAGATAGTTTACATTTAAAGAGAATAAGGTGCATCAACCTTTAACGGGGGAGCAGAATAAATGTATGAAATGAAAGATCCTCCCAAAGCTAGGTAAAATATAACTGGGGTCTTGTGGCCTGCCTGATAAGAGGAAAGATGAGCACTGCCATGTATGAGGTTTCATTCGGTATTGCAAACAAATTAATATCAATATCTTAAGTGGCTTACCCACACGTCTAATAGACCTGCCAAACCAATGCCTCCGAGTAGCAGCAACCAAATCTGAGTTATAACCTAAACAAGTATACTTTTTAAGTTTTTATATGATAATTAACCCAAGGAAAATAAATTTTGCATCTAATGATACTCCTGTGAAAAAAAATGAAACTGCTAAATGCATAATAAAGTTCATGCAACAATTTAAGGAAGACAAATAAAGTTCATGTAACAATTTAAAAAAAGTTCATGCAACAATTTAAGGAAGACAAAACCTCATATCCACTGCTAACCGCCAATTAAAATAAAAAAAAAATACTAACTTGACATTTATTCATTCTCTCCCATTCAGGCAATGCAAAGACCTTCATTCATTTCTATCATGCAATACCTCCAAGTTTTCTCCATTCGTCCAAGGCTCTTCATTGTTCCCCCCTTGCTTCTCTCAGCCTCCTCCACTGCCTCTCACACAACCCAAATTCTCTCTATCTCCTCATCGTGAGAACCCGAATCCCTCAGCTCCCAATTTTCTCTCTCGAATCCTTGCTTCACTTCTCGTCTCACGCAAAATCTCTCAGCCTCCTAAACCAACTCTAAACCTATCTCATTCGGCCTCTGCTCTTGCCAAACTCACCTGCACCCAGCACCTCCGTCCTCCAAAACTGCCATTTCCTATCTACTCTCGTCAAAATCCTCAACTTCTCTGTTCAATTCGAGTAAGCCACTACAGTTCCAAACTCCTTCATATCAAACTCCTGGCTCCATCAAGCGGCAACACTGTTTGTTGTAGCTCATCAGAGCCGCCAGTCCACCCATAGAACAACTTTTGCTCTCCCTTTTATTCATGAGAACAAGACAAATGAACAGCTCTTGCCCGACCTGAAGCCACACTCCCACTCATCAGCACAAACACTCATTCTCCTCTCGTCTCTTCCTTGTTACCATACTCCCATGGATAGCCCGGACCCCCTTCTCTCATCTTCCTCTTTGTTGCACTGTTCTTGGCCCTACTTGACCTGCTCTCCTTGCCTAACAATCTCACTCCTATTCAACGGTTCAAAACCACAACAGCAGCAAACCTTCTGCGCTCCTCAATCCGCAGTCGAGCCATTATAGCCCCTTTTCATTGCATACACCATCGGCAAACTTTGAAACCACCTACCCAAGACAATCCTCTCTCTCTCTCTCTCTCTCTCTCTATATATATATATATAGAAAAAATCAAAAAGTCAAAAACAAAATTAGAAATACAGCATAAAAATATTATCTATTTCACACTTCCAGTTCGTCATTTCGCCGCCCCGAACTGGTCGGCCTCACACACAAAAGCATAAAAATAAGAATATAAATACTCGTTCGTGTGGTTCCAACATGACAGAAAAATCAGACAAATTTAAGTATTTGTTCAGGTTGTTTCAATCCAATGAGAATCCATTAAATACTTATTTGCGAGTTCTAACATGGTAGAAAAAGTATCTCTCACACAAGTAACTAAAGGCCTATGCACGTTTTCGGCGCGAGTATGTTAGAAGACACACGACCATGGTGTTTCAAAACACTTATCAGTCCTTGCTCTCCCGACAATATATTGGGTGGCTGTTAGAATTTGGACTGTCGTATGACCAACATAAAAGCCAAAGAGCACTTAAGACTTAAATTGACTAAATAATAAAATGGAAAGACAAATTACATATTGCTAACCAAAGAAAGACAAGGTTTAAAATAAAAATAAATTACAAATTTTAAACACTAAGCAGACTTACAAGGGATTCGACAGCTCAACTACGAGCACAAATGAAACTTATAAAGAATTCAACAACTCAATCACAAACATAAGCAGGACCTCCTCACTTCGAGTAAATAGCCGTGAACTTTCAGAATTTTAAAGCAGATAGAATTAAATAGTAAAAAAAATTCTCATTTATTTACAAAGGGAGAGTAAAGGTTGAGGGAACCACCATATTAAATTATAACTTATAAGGAAACAAAATGATGACATCATGAAACACCTAAAAGATGTTTATTCTTTCCCAATTTGCAACCTGATCTGCAACCTTCATACACAAGCGAATGGAAGGTGAAGTCTGAGATCAAAACAGAATATTTGCACACATTTGGACAATCCTAATTTTAAATAAATTTCGGATCTTACATGAAATTCATGAATTTTTTTCAATTCAGACAAACTTTCTCGAAATTCATGCAAATATCTTAAAAACTCTCAAGACTATAAAATGAATCATTCGAAACAAGTGTAACAAGTGTGTGCACATTATCAAATTTAATCGCAGCATAACTTGTGCAAATACATCTTGCAAATGCACCAAAATTCATGCAAGTATATCAAGTGTGTGCACATTATCAAATTTGGAAGCCTGCCTATACTCTGTTGTCATCCTAAATGCTTAAATTTGAACATCTAATGATGTTGAAGACTTAAAATTATATTTATATATCTTGCTCGGAATAATGTGCATTCTAAAGAGCTTAAAAATCTTGCATGTGCTCTAACCAACATGTTGAACATAGAAATAAATGGTCTAACAATACTGTGCAGGCTGAAAAGAGAAACAAACTCAAATTATCATTACTTCGAAAAGTGTGCCAAACGCTTAGCTATCTAAATTTATCGATTGAAGAAATATGCATGTGCTCCGACTAGAACATTAAAAGCTCAATATAATCTAAGAATGTTGCACAAACCAAAAGAAGATAAGGAATTTTAATTTTTTTCATCGAAAAGTGTGCAAAAATTTTAAAAAGCTTGCAAATTCTTTGAATTTTACAAAATCTTGTTACAAAATCAAAAAAGTCAAAAGGACGAGTTATAAATGATCTTGAGTGGGACACCTTGTCTATAGAGCAACGTCAAAAATTCCACCTAACTAATTTGGCCCTTCTTCTCTCAAGCATAGATGACAAAACCGAGCTTATATTTAGTCAATCCAATTCTCTTCACAAAAATCAGAATTTATGAAACTGATGCTTCAAGAAATTCTCAAATAATAAAAATTAAATAAATTATAATTATAATTATTACAAGCATAATTCTACAATAATTATCACGTTGAAAGTAAATTCTCAACTGAAGGATTTTATTTATAAAATCAAACCATCAAGTTATAATCCCTGAAGATGATTGTGTTAAAAGTGAATTCGAAATCAAAGTCAGGCTCTCAAAAAACATGTGTAAAAAATTAAATTCTTCGTTGACTGTTGTGTTGATAGAAAATCTTAATCAGAGAGGTTCATTTCCAAGATTCAAATCATCAATTACAATTAACCAATCTCAAATAAACCATACAAGTGATAAATTTCTCCAACGATGGTTGAGTTGATAGAAAATTTAACCATAATAGTTCAATCATAAAACCAATCACTCAAGTTACACGTACAAAAATTCAAAACTTAGATACTTATGTTGAAGGTGAAATATCAACTGGAGGGGTATGCTCTAAAACTAAAATTTCATGTTAAAAATTCAAAGTCTCAATTTGAAAATAGTAAACTCATATGCTAATTACAAACCAAATTCTCTACAAATAGGCCCGATCTCCTATAAAAAGGGTGGAGTCGAGAGGCTGTCCAATATAACAAATGAACTTAACACTATGAAGCCAATCCTCTATGAGCAAGATAAAGAGTTGGCAATGTTCAAATGCAATTGATTCAAGCATCTCGATGATGGTTATGTTGATTGAAAGTCTTAACCAAAAGGACTTCTATTTTCAAAATGCCTTAAAATTTAACAAAAATCATGTCAAATTTAAAACCTAAATATTCAGGTGAAATAAATCACTCAAAGCAAAGAGCAAACATCATTCAACATCCACATCAATTTATCAAGACAAATTTATAATTAATCTAAGCTCACAAATAGTGAATGTCATGTCAATTATATCATTATATTACTCTCAAGTCAATCTACACTACTAAAGATATGTGAGAACCTCCATCTGCGTTATTTGATCAATTAGATCTATATTATAACAACTAGAATCAAAGTCCTTTGATTGGGTGATTTAGCTAGACATACTCAATTATATCATGGTCATGATAATAGCCCGTATATTCAAATAGCTTTCTTCCCTTTGAGATGTGAATTGTATGGCATATTTGATTGAGCATAAAGCCTCTTTTAACTAATAAGATTGACTTATATTTGTCCCCTTAAATAAACTTTTGCCCCAAGTTTATAGAATCTCATTGGATGAAACAACTCATTACTTCTTACAAGGTATATTCTATTAAGTTGGGTAGACTATCTCTTCTAAGTAGTCAAGAAACCATGACAATCCAAAACGACCAAACCATGAGATCTTAATCGAATTCGCCATCATCCCCCTCACCATCCACTTTAAGCTCACAATAATAAATTTCTTAATCAAAAAATTAAAATATTTAACGTCTTAATGATTAGCCTTAATAAAAAATTCTCTCTCATTATCGGGAGGGATAATTAATAATAGAGGATTCGACCTATGGGAAACCTCAAACCCCAGATCAAAAAATACACACAAAATGAGAGAAATCTTTGGGTAGTGTTTCATCTACAAGTTAATCTACTTTCTAAAAATTGAACTGGAACCTTATGTAGAACTCTTCATCATTCAAGGGCGGTCGAGGCATAAATTTTTGGAGCCAAGAGCTACGAAGGTAATAGCAGTGGCGGGCTACGTCCGACAACTGCATAGACCAGATAAGGGTGTGTAGGAAGTAACCAACGCTTGTGCTCGATTAGGAAGGAGCTTATTTCCTGTACTCTGAATATATTTCAATATTTTTTTCCTTTTCTTTATTAGATATTTCAATTTTTTTTGTTTTTCAATTTTGGTGGGATTTTTAAACTTCAAAGGATTCTAATTTCCTAGTTTGTAGACCGGTATGTCAACCACTATATTATATACAGTAGGTTATAACTCATTATTTTAGTGGAATAAAATTTTCTCAAGTTTCTTCATAGTATTAGAGTCGCACATATCGACCCATATGGAGGCTTCCGCTTCCCTCGCCCGTAGTACATCTTAGGAGGAGATCATCGCCTCCATTGCGCTGTCTTGGTTGTTTGTTACTTCAAA